GATCACCCAAGGCCACCAGGAGACCCTCCATTTCCTGATCATTTCTGCTCCCTCTTCTCCCCTAATCCTGGGGTTCCCCTGGCTCCGTCTCCACGACCCTCATATTTCCTGGTCCCAGAACCGCCTGCTGGGCTGGGGGACCTCGTGCCAGACCCACCTCGCTCCTCCTCCATCCTCGGCGGGTCTTCCGGACGGGGGCCCCAGCTCCACACCGCCCCACCTGCCGCTGCCCTATCGGGACCTGGCCGCGGTGTTCGACAAGCGGCGCGCCACCTCCCTGCCACCTCACCGGCCATATGATATGGAGATCAAGCTGCTACCCGGAACCAGTCCTCCCCGCGGGCGCCTTTTCTCTCTCGCGCCTCCCGAGACCAAAGCGATGGAAGAATATATCGCCCAGGCCCTCCAGCAGGGGTTCATTCGACCCTCCTCCTCTCCGGGTGCCGCTGGCTTCTTCTTCGTGAGGAAAAAGGAAGGCGATCTTTGCCCCTGCATAGACTATCGGGGTCTGAACAGGATCACGGTCAAGGACCGCCATCCTCTGCCGCTCCTCACTACCGCTCTGGATGCCATCTCCCAGGCACGGATCTTTACGAAACTGGATCTCCGGAGCGCCTACAATCTGGTCCGTATAAAGGCCGGGGATGAGTGGAAGACCGCTTTCATAACACCCACCGGCCACTGGGAGTACCTGGTTATGCCCTTCGGACTATGCAATAGCCCTGCTGTCTTCCAACGTCTCATTAATGATGTCCTCCGCGACATGCTGGGACGGTGGGTGTTCGCCTATCTGGACGATATACTGATCTACTCCAAATCCGAGGCCGAACACATCCATCATGTTCGCGCCGTCCTGACCCGGCTCCTGGACCACAACCTGTACTGTAAACCCGAGAAATGCTCCTTCCATCAGCAGTCCATATCCTTCCTGGGTTACAGGATCTCGGACGAAGGGATAACCATGGACCCTCAGAAAATCCAGGCGGTGAAGGACTGGCCCTTGCCAACCAGCCTGAAACAACTGCAGAGTTTTCTGGGTTTCTGCAACTTTTACCGCCATTTTATAAAGAACTATAGCACCCTCGTAGCCCCTCTCACCTCTCTCACTCGACCAGGCTCCCCTGGCCAGCCGTTTCATCTAACTCCCGACGCCATTCGGGCCTTCCACCACCTGGTCACCCGCTTTACCTCGGCCCCGATCCTCCGCCATCCAGATCCTGCAGTCCCCTTTGTGGTCGAGGTCGACGCCTCTGACGTCGGCGCCGGCGCCATCCTATCTCAAGGCGGGCCCGACGACAGGCTCCATCCCTGCGCCTACTTCTCCAGGAAGTTTTCCACCACCCAGCAGAAGTACGGTGTGGGCGACCGTGAGTTACTGGCCATAAAATGGGCATTGGAGGAATGGAGGCAGTGGCTTCTGGGCACCACTCAGCCTTTCACGATCTGGACTGACCATCAGAACCTGACCCACATAAAATCTGCCAAGCAGCTTAATCCTCGCCAGGCTCGCTGGGCCCTCTTCTTTGAACCCTACGACTTCCATCTCGCCTACCGCCCGGGAGCCAAGAACCAGAAGGCGGACGCCCTCTCCCGCCAATTCACCCACTCCTCGCCCTCGTCCGAGCCAGCGCCAATCCTCCCGGAACACCGTTTCCTGGGCCAACTGAGGTGGCCGTTGGAGGAAGCTATCCAGAACGCCCTCCGGGACGACCCCGCGCCTCCTGAGACCCCCGCGGGTCGCCTCTATGTCCCCACGGCCTGTCGCAGCGAGGCGTTGTCCTGGGCCCACTCATCACGCCTGTCTGGCCACGCTGGTTTCTCCAGAACTCTTAAATTCCTCCAGCGAGCCCTCTGGTGGCCAGGCATGGCGAGGGATGTGAAAGAATACACCAGCGCCTGTGACGTCTGTGCCCGCTCCAAGAACCCCAACCAGGCCTCAGCTGGTGCCCTCCGACCTCTTCCGGTGCCCAGCCGCCCCTGGTCCCACGTGGGGCTGGACTTCGTCACAGGTCTCCCGTCGGTCAATAACCTCAACACTGTCATGACGGTTACGGACCGCTTTTCCAAGTCTGTCCATTTCATCGCCCTTCCGGGTCTCCCCTCAGCCCAACGCACAGCGGAACTGTTCCTGGAGAACGTGGTGCGCCTCCACGGGTTCCCAGTCGACGTGGTCTCGGATCGGGGGCCCCAGTTCACGGCCCGGTTCTGGAAAGCTTTCTGTCGGCTGATGGGAGCATCGGTCAGTCTATCCTCAGGCTACCACCCGCAGACCAATGGCCAGACGGAGCGGGCTAACCAACAGCTGGGTCGGTACCTTCGTTGTTTTGTCTCGGCTCAACCCTCACAGTGGCCTAAATACCTCCTCTGGGCGGAGCTGTCCCACAATCTTCACACCTCATCTGCCACTCGGCTGTCCCCTTTCGAGGTCTGCTATGGCTTCCAGCCCCCGGTCTTTGCCCACCAAGAACCCGAGGTCGCCGTTCCAGCAGCGGAAGCCATGGTGAGACGCTGCAAGAGCGCCTGGGTCAAAGCTCGAGCCTCCATAACCAGAGCTAACACCAGCTATGCTCGCCAGCATCTCCGTCGACACCGTCCTGGTCCCTCCTATGCTCCTGGGGACAAGGTCTGGGTGTCCACGGCTGACCTTCGGGTCCGTGCCGGGGCCAAGAAACTCGCTCCTCGGTTCCTCGGCCCATACCCCATCCAGAGGGTCATCAACCCGGTCACGTACCGGTTGCGACTGCCGGCTACTCTCCGCATCCATCCCACCTTCCATACCTCCCGGCTCAAGCCCTTCGTGGAGTCCTCCCTTCTCCCGCCTCCGGCTCCGGCGCCGCCTCCTGCCCGCTTCCTCGACGGTGAGCCTATCTACACCGTCCGGCGCATCCTGGACGCTCGCTGCAGGGGTCGGGGCTGGCAGTACCTAGTGGACTGGAAGGACTATGGCCCCGAGGAACGCTCCTGGGAGCCGGCTCGGTCCATCCTGGACCCTTCCCTGATCTCCGACTTCTGGGTCCGCCGGGGTCGCGCTGGGACTTCTGGAGCCGTCCCTGGACCGGGGGGTCCTGTCAGGACTCAGGTATCTCCCGGCTGACGTTCGGACCACAACTCCCGACATGCTCCTCATGGGGAGCTCCCAGCGTGCTCCTCGCGGGGATTCCCTCCACGTCACAGCCAAGCAAGGCTATATATGGAAGACGCCGGTACCGGCTTCTCATCTCAGTCATCGTTTCTTCCTCACAGAGATACGACCGGAGAAATAATAAAACTGTTAAACGTCTCACCTTGTTCGTCTCCTTCATCCAGTCTGATCAGCCCGACAAAATGGTTCAATACAAATACAGGCTATTTGCCATTTACCGTTCAAATATTATGGGAGTTAGTTATAGTATTATACTTTGGTTCTGTGATTTTTGCACACATTACTATAGTGATCCACATGAAACAAGGTTTTAACCTACAATTACTTTCACTTCATACTACAGGATTACTTATTTGACACCAAAATATTTTATCTACTTTAATAGTTTTTAACTTTAGTAAAAATCACCTTTATGACAAATTTCAATGATTGATGGTGGCGCCTCTAAGCTTACGGAGGCCTTCTTAGGTTCTTCCTCACCCAAACCTGAAAGGCCAGGTTGTTTAAAAACATTTAAACACTAAAGTCTTGTTGTTAATATGGGAAAATGTATTTCAGTGAGTCTTTGAATTACACCAGCAGGTTAACAAACTACCGTTACTATAGTCAAGATGAAAAACAAAACACTTCAACGTAGGAGGAGCTTCAGTTTAATTATATTTGACATGAAAAAGGTCAAATATGGAATCTGATCAGTGGAATGGAAGAGTGCACGTGCACTTTGTAGATTGTTGTTTGACAGAAAATCATTTCTTTGACTTGCCTCAAGGGCTGCAGAGGTAGAGAGGAGTTGGGTGAGTTTACACACACTCTGTGTGTGGGTAACTATATATTATATTTTCATACAGGTAGTGCTTCTATTTTGCCAAGAAGAGTTTGGCTGTAGACAAAAACACAGATTAAGTGTCCGACTCGTGGGACTTGGTCTGTTTCTGTAGCAGAGATGCTTGAAATCCTTGTTTTTGTATCTTTGCATCTTGTTTTTGTCATTAAGTCTGCATCAGAGTGTTTGATTTGCATTAGTGTTATTTAGGTAAAGATGTCTGATGGGGGGATGATTCTGTGAACAGCAGTGGGATTCTGTATAATTATGAATGTGCAGCAGAGATGTTTGGAAGTGCATGGCTTAGATTTCCAACCCCCTGCTGTTTGTGCTTTGATTGTGCAGCGTTACAGTCCTTGACTGTGTGTTTAAGAATTGCACACATACATATTCCACAAGGCCATCACTTATTTCTCATGAATCCCTGATTTAGCATACGCCAAGGTTGAACATCCGTTTCATCTCAACTGCACTTGTTTTGTGTGTGTCATGGTTTTTGTGACGTGTTTGTAGAGTCAAGAAGAAGTTCACCCGTCAGGTTTAACCTTGTGAAAACTCTCATTGCGCTTTGAAGATGTGCACCGATGCCGAGTGAGAAGAGAGAGAAGCTGCAGATAATCTGAGGGAAGGCGAAGAGACCGTGTTTTTTTTTTCCTTTTGTTAGATTCAGTGTTGGCTGAAGGCCTAACTCTCATTAATGATTTGGAGCAGAGGTCGACCAATATGGGTTTTTAATGACCGATGTAGATCTTAGGGCAGCATGGTGGCCGATTTGCAGCTTAACCTAAATGCATTATTTACATAACATAGTTGGCTGAAAAAGAGTGAAATGATAGTGGGTTGGCCGTAAAAGCTGCGTTGAGCTACTGCTGCAGGTTCCAAGCTGTTTGATTGCATTCATATATTAAAGACATGAGCTGTAATTTTATTTAGATGTGTAAGTTTATAATTTGGTTCAATGACCAGAAACAGGGAAATGAAAGTCAGACCACCACACAAAAAGTAAGTTGAGTCTTTGTTTTATTCTCGTGCCAGGCGTCCCCTCAGCTCCTCGAAACGTGGTCTCGGTTGTGAATCAGACGTCTGTGCTGTTGGAATGGAACCCACCCCGCGACACCGGGCATCGCGAGGACTTGACCTATAACATCGTGTGCCGCAGATGCCACAGCAGTGAGCGGCGGGCGTGCCAGCCATGTGACGACAGCGTCAAGTTCACGCCAGGCAAGGAGGTGCTGAAAGGAACGAGAGTGGAGATCAGCAAGCTGCGGGCTCACATGTCTTACACCTTTGATATCCAGGTTTGTCCCCACAGTTCATGCAGTAAAAGTGCAGAATGAAGAGAAGCTAAAGTAACATAAACCTCAACAAACTCTATTTTTACTTACTGTCAAATATCAATTAAAATGCTAAGCAAAAACTCATTAACTTTTAGTGTTCGTCATTTTAAAACAGCCTTGGTGCTGTCATGCAAATATCCACAGGTTTCTCCATAATGGTCTCTGATACTGAAGCTACAGAGATGCCGGCTGACTTGTGGGCTTTTATGCTAAATCAGCAATTATATCTGCCAAGGTTACTCTGAACTGTAGAAAGCTAGTACAATTACAAAGCTTCAATCATCTGCCATCTGGCTGCTTTAATGCATATTTTAGGGCTCAAAATGAAGTACCTTAAACGTAAACTGTGCAATCTCGTAAGTGGAAACAACAGTTTGGTTTTAATTCAGTGGCGGCTCCAGAAGATTTTTTTCTGCAGGTGCTATGAAGGAGCTAGTCCTTTTATTGAGGGTGCTATGAAGGAAGTGGTCATGGGTTCCTATTCTCTAAATCACCATCAACACTAGCAGATACACATGCGTGCACAAAACCTCAACAGCACCTGAAACAATCATTAATATACATCATAAACACATGAACAATCACTGAATTTTCCATGAAATCATAAACACATGCAGCCACACAGAAAACCGTCTATAGTGTTGCAAGTTTAGCTAACGTTAGTGTTAGCATTTCCAGCGGCAAAACCCTCGACTGCTGCGGCGGTTGAGGGTTGACTCTCTTCATCCAGATCCGTAGGTTTTTGTAGGTCTGAGACCACTTCCAAAGATTCATTCGTTTCTGACTGAACCCGTGGAAATTTGGGCAACAAAACCACTAGCTCTACCTTTCACTTGTTCGCAGGTGGTAAATGAGGTCAAAGGTTAACATCAATTTCCTGTTTTGGTTTAAGTTTTTACTCTCTGATAATTTACTGATTGTTTTTGGTTTGTATGTTAAATATTATCACATCCACACGTTAAATTAAAATTAAATTGTAAAAAAAAAATCTAATATTTACTTGGGGGTGCTATGGGGGTGCAATGACTAATCCAGGGGTAGCTATAGCGCCCCCTGGCACCGCCACAGTTTTAATTACTTTCTATATCTACAATATTCATAAAAATAAAAATATAAAATGTTGATTTTAGATTATTTCTGGCATTTAAAAGGCTCTTTTGCTGTGATGCCGTGTCATTCGTGTTATTTTTGAAATATAATCAGTTATGCCGAGTTTCACATGCATGTTGAACAGGAACAATTTCTTCCACCCCCATCACCTGCATCAGCCACAGAAAGAAAATAGGCGGTAAAACATTTGTTTCAGAAGAGTCCGTCTCTTCTACGTCACGTGGAAAACTAGTTTTCATGGCTCCGCCCACCCTGGCTTGTGCTGATTTTGTGGCTAGGAGACAGCAGAGTGTGTGCAGCGCACCAGGCTAAAGACCAAAGGTGACGGATCATCTGCTGCTGTGGGCCCGAGACTCTGGAACTCTCTTCCCCTGAGCCTGAGATCAGTGGACTCAGTGGTCTCTTTTAAAAAGCAGCTGAAACTCACCTGTTCAGGCTGGTTTTGTGTGACCTTCATCACCCCACCTGATTTAGCTGTTTCTACCAACTCTGCCTTTCTCTGTACCTCTTTCTTATTCATTTTCTCTTTCCCTTTCCTCATATTTTCTTTACTTTTAATCACTTTTTTATTTTTCTCAAATTTTTTATATTTTTTAATCATTTTTATTTTTGTTCTTGTGAAGCGCCCCGTGCCTATTATCTTGAGAGGCACTATATAAAAGATCATTGCTTCTTCTTCTCCTTCTCTCTGCTAGTAGAAGCTAACCGTTAGCATTAGCAATCCACAAGATAATAGAAAATGTTCAGCACTGTATTTTATTAACCAAGAAAGAAAAGCAAACCAAGGCAGCGGAAGATTCAAGCAGCTGTTAGCCAATCAGAGGCAAGACATTAGCATATTATGAAAATTTTGAGGTGACTGTGGCAGAGGACTTAAGCGCCTGCATCAGAAACCTGAGGGTTGAAGGTTTGAGCCCCTAGAAGGCGGTATATCAAATACAGGCCATTTACCAGTAAGACTCCTGTCGTTCTGCCTCCTTTTGAAACAAGAGCACCAGAGCCTTTTTTTTTTTACTCGGCATTTATTCATACTAGAGACCACAGCAGATTTACTGAAAAAAGGGGTGAACTACCTTTGAAGTGAGAAAAAAAAAGTCTGGATCTTAATTAATTTCTCATTAATATATGACTAAATTTCATTTATTTATCTTATAAACTTAAATCTAAACTGAAAAAAACCCAAATAAACTTAAGAATTCACATCAGTTTCAAAACATTAACTGGGTTTCTGACAAACGGCACCATTCAGAACCTGCTAATTGTGATTTTCTACCATCAAAATGATGTTACCAATGACATACGCAACAGTTTTGGTGTGTCTGATACTGTAGTCAGTTACCTCTACTTCCTGAATAACTTTTCTTGAGCCAAATCATTATTTTTAATTGTGTCCTTGATGCTGAGGTGTGGTAACTTCTGTTTTGTAGAGAAGATGCTTTTCCAACACCTGAAACACTTTATTAACGGTCCAGGCTTTCTTTTAAATCTGTGTCAACGTGCAACTCTTTAGCATAAAGCCTGTCTAATAAAGAATAAACAGCCACCGTGTGTTCCCATGTTGGCTAAAACAGGCGCTGCAGATGAAGGGAGGCGATGCACACAGAAGAAAAATAATCCACCTCTTTTACATTAAAGCACGTCAACATATAACAGGAAAAAGCTTATTGTTACTGTTTATCCTGTGCAGACAGTCAACGGGGTGTCCAACAAGAGTCCTTACCCCGCCCAGCAGCTGTCAATCAACATTACAACCAATCAGGCAGGTGAGTAGGAAGTACCTTGACAGCTGTGCATATGTGTGTTTGTAAGTATGTGTGTGAGCACACCCTGGGGCTCTGTGGATTATGTTTAGGAGGGATGGCTGGAGAGATAACGGAAATTAAAGCTATGGCGTTTTAATTCATAAAAGATGTTAGAGTTGTCATCTCTCTCCTCCACCTCCCTCGCTCATTTCTGCACATCCACAGCTTTAATCCTCCCCGCCTCCCTAAAATGTACTCCCCCGTTGCCTGCCTCTCCTTCACTGCCTGCTGCTGTTAAACTCTTAGAGACCATAATGTAACTGAGTTATTACCCCATCAATGCTTTATGAAGACGGACACAAGTGATGCTTCCATTTCTAACCAAATTTGGATGTGAAAGCAGCTTTTCCCCGGTGGAAAGAGCATAATTTCCTTCATCTACTGCTACTGTGGCTCATTCTTAATAAGAACATGATCTGTATCCACCCTACTGCTCTCTTAGCACATCTGTTACTGCTGCCAGATGCAAACCCCTCTTCCTCCTAGGAGTCTAGAAAACCCGATTCACTATCAAGTAGACTACACTGGGACGAACTTTAAAATATGCATTTGGGGTTGACTGCATTTGATCAGACTTGAATTTTGACTGCATGATCCTAATGCTGTGTAATAAGTTGTGAGGGATCAAGTCAAATGAGTGGAGGAACACAGGATATTTCCAAAAATAGAGACTCTTTAGTTTCCTTTTTGTTTTAAAATATCCTCACAAAAAATAGCTGGAGCTCATAAAAGAGGTCAAACAGACAAACTGAAACTCAATAAACTGCCAACTTAACATGCTGACTGACTGAAACCATAACCGACCTAACAAACAAAGACACACACATGTATGTATACACACTGGCTGATCAGACCATATGAATAATAGGGATTACTAGACAAACATTTTCTAACAAAAACTAAAACCACAAATCAGTTCAGTCAGATTGTTAATAAATTTAAACACCCTAACCCATAAACGTAACTATTTAACTTCAAACTTAAATGAAATTAACAAATTACAAAATAATAACTAAAGGAAATCCTTCAGTCCCCTCTTCATGGAGCTATTGGTTTGGCCCCATCAGCTCCTCCTGTATTTAGCTGACAGAACCCCTTCAACACTGTTTGCCTGTCCCATCTCAGGAAGCAGGAAGTGGAGAACCGCTCAGCACCGGTAAGAGAAAACATAAATTAACTTAAATTGAACAAATGGCAGGCATAAAATACAGCAGTTAACTAAATGTGCGCGCTTACAATCGGAACTAATGCATTCAAGCCTTCTAAACAATAAATCCAAAGAAATATAAACGTACAAACGGAAATCATAAAAGTGCATGAGTGTACTAACGTTCACCGTAGTGTGGACATGGATGTGGCCATCACATAAGTATTCTGGGGTTATGAAGGGTCGAAAGAGCCAAGATTTTAAAAACTGTATTATCATTCTCGACATACAGAGGAGGCAGTTGAACAAAACTATTTGAGGAACACTAAGGGGGGACCTCCTCCTCCTAAGGAGAAAGAGCGGGTTGCCCAGTAATCGGAAGGTTGCACGTTCCATCCCAGCTCCGACCAGAGAATTCTGCTGTTGTGTCCTTGGGCAAGACACTTAACCCACGTTGCCTGCTGGTGGTGGTCGGAGGGACCGGTGGCTCCTGTGCCCGGCAGCCTCGCCTCTGTCAGTGCGCCCCAGGGCAGCTGTGGCTACATTGTAGCTCATCCCCACCAGCGTGTGAATGTGTGTGTGTGAATGACTGATTGTGTTGTGAAACACCTTGGATGACTGTAGAACCCTAAGAAGACGCTATACAAATATAGGCCATTTACCAACGAGGAAGTTCCCCCCTCATCCACTAGGGGCAGTCTCCAAAACAGAGCAGGTTCGTTTGTCTCCCATGTTAAAAATGCTAACTTCACATCAGAAATAAACATTTCTAAGCCTTGTTATGGCCGCCAGCCTGGCCTTTTCAATTCCAGGAGCCATGATCTGTTTGCTCACTTATTTTTAGAACCTTTCATGACAATTAAACCCATTTTAGATCCACTGTCATGTTTCTTATGGTACCCCCTCCTTCACATTTGAGCACCTTCTGTCAGGGTCATAACCGCCTGGTTCAAAAGAACATTTTAGGCTTAACAGGTGACAACTGCGTGCTAGGTGAATTTTTTTTTGTGATGTGCAGGCACGTCTCATCCAACAATTTCAGAATTGAAAGTTTGAAATGGATTTCAAACAAAACTCTTCCTTTCCAGTCGTTTGTTTTTAACTGGAGATATTTCCTTCCTTTGAGTGCAAATCATTTCTGTGTATTTCTTATTACATCGTTCTTCATTTCCATATGCATGAAGTTCAGTCATCCTTGTGAACTTTTGAACTCTGTGCACTCTTCTGTGTTCTCTAAAGCTCCCTCTGTAGTTCCCATACTGCACCAAGTCAGTTCAACGAGCCGCAGCTTCTCGTTGTCATGGCCACCGCCCGAACAGCCCAACGGGATCATCCTTGACTATGAGATCAGATACTATGACAAGGTAGGCTGGAAAAAAAAAGTCTGCGTGTGTTTGTGTGTTTCGGTAATCTGTGGAGAGTCGATGAAACGGGAAAATCAATACGAATTGGATTAAAGTCGTCTAATTATCTGTTACTGAGGACCAGCCACAGTTTCACTCCTCTGCAAACACCTGAGCTCGCTAAAAACTAAATTACAAGGATGCTTTGTTTAATGCATGCTTTCTCTTAAATGCAACTATGAGCTTGTACACATATTTTATTATCCATGGGGGGTTAATGTCAATGTTTGTGAGCTGCAGACATTATTATTGATCTGATGTTTGCTGAGTGAGAAGATATCAGGATTTATCTCCTCAGCTCAATGCAAGACTTAAGTTTCTTTTCAATTTAATAAATCAGACCTTTGCTCGTGCGGGATTTTAATAAAACGTTTGTGTTTATGGTACTAAGTCAGAACTGATCTCACATTAATGGCATTACCTGTCACCATATATGTAGGAGTATTATGCTAACATCCTGTCTTGTTGAGTTATGATGGAGTTCTCACTGTTTTGGTCAAATCTTTAGCATTTGGAGTATTTGTTGTGTAACGTCCACTTGCAGCGTCGCAGAAAGGTTTTCGACTTAAAGTCAAAGGGGTTTGTTTCAAAAAGGCTTCTTTCCCGATTTAGCCGAATCGGGGCTCAGCTGGAAACTGAATTACTCAGGAAGTAATTCTTGTTTTGTTAAACTACTTTGTTATGATTTCTGGCCATTGTGGCAAATCAGAATTTGACACATTTCTTTTATTTATTTTTTGTTATTGTTTTTGAATGTTTTGTAATTCCGACCAGACACGGAGACAGAGGTGAAAGAGAATGGAAGAGACAAAAGATGGGGGGTGGGTGGGGGTCCACACAAATAAACAATAATGAACAAGAATCTGCTTCTAGACCTGCAGAGAGAAGAAAAAAAATCAAAAAAAAAAATGGGACACAACAACAATACAGGAAGATCAAGCTATCACTGCGTCAACTTGATGAAGAAATATATAATCAACATTGTTTCACTGAACAATCACACGATAATAAATCACAGTGCATTAAGTGCCGACCACAGCCTTAAGACCTGTGTTTAACGTGCCCAAGTCCATACTTATGAGAGCACCATGTGAGCACCTGTGTGTGTACACGCACTTGTTTATGTAATGATTCTCTATAGAAGCGTCCAATAGAGAGTGAGGGGCCACAGATCTGCCCCCTAAAGATGTGTAGGAGACGGAGGGAGCTCCAAGTCCCAGAGATCCAGGAGCTGCCCCAGAGCACAGGAACTCCAGGGAGACTGAGACCAGAAAAGCCCCCGCCCCCCTCGAGAGGCGCACACTTTCTTTTCAATATCACGTCAACAATATTACCCAGTCTGCTTAAGCCTGATTCATGCTTCTCCGTCAGCTCCGCAAGGGACAGACACGCATGGATTGACGGAAGCGTTTTGCTCTCATACTTCTTTGTCTCCTGGGGAGTGTTGCAAAGCAATTCCTCAGCAGGACAACAGAGGGCGTAGCGCTGTTCTGTGGTATCCTGTCATGTATCCAGTCCAAGACAGTGTGTTTATATTGTGTTTTTTGTATATAAGAGACTTTTTAACACAGACAAATGTGTCCCTCATTCTCCTCCACCACTTCATGCGCTCGCCACCTCTAAACCCACATTTCCTGTCATTTCCGTCCACAAATAAAACACTTGCTGTGCGTCTTTTTACTCCTCCAGTCACGGGGAATTAAACATTCATGTTTTAGCGTTTTTTCGCGAGGTTTTCTTCAAGCTTCTCCATGTCTGCCGCTACTTATCCTTGGCTCTCTTTATGTTTTTGAGGGCGCAATGGTGGCGGTGTAGACAACAGCGGCGTCCTGACCAATCACAAGCTTGCGTTCTCCGTCTCGCCGGACGAATGTTTAAAAAAGTGGGCTCGACTCCGTACTTACTTGTGTGCCTGCTGGGGCCCTATGCAGGGATGGCGTTGCCTGTCTCCGCACTGACGCAGACGGCATAACTCAGGCTTTACTTTCACTTGCGTAACATCTCTCGTCTCCGTCCATCACTTTCTCCCTCCACTACTGCCATCCTTGTCCACAGCCTCGTCACATCCAGGATTGATTATTGCAACTTCAATGGCTGCCCATTAAACAGAGAATAAGGGGCTCGACACACGGAAGGCGACAAACGACCACGATCAGCGAAATTCATCACTGTCGCTTTTATTACCTGACACACGGGAGGCGACCCGCAGCCAGCAGCAAAGCCGTCTACGCGTTCTGTTCCATGGCGAAATTGAAACTTCCGTTGTTTTGTTTGGCTGTGTCGGGTTGGAGGGAATTAAGGTTATTTAAGCAGTTCAGAGTTAATAAAGCGGTAGATATGATGTTTCACAAGGTGCTGCTAGAGTTATGTGAAATCTTACTTCTGATTTTACTATATAAAACATAATAATAATCAACTTCTCCTTCATGTTTGCTCGGAGGTGTACGGATTATCCTATCTGCTCATTGGTCATTGAATTAAACCTCCATTGATTGGTCCTCGTCCAAGCGACAGCGATGAAAAGTTGAAAATATTTCAACTTTCTGGGATTGCTTCGCTGGGTCGCCTGTGCACGTCACAAAATTTCACATGCACGTTTTTCGCGTTTCGCTTAGTAGGAGGGACACCCGCAATTATCGCTTTGTTGCACATGTCTCATTGAAAATGAATGGAGGAGAGGCGATATCGCCTCCTGTTCTAAAATAAAATGTTTTATTTTATTTTAATTACCTTAAAAGACTCAAAGTCTCTTTTTACACTTTATATTTATTTAATCAGGATCGTTGTCAAGTCGACGCCAGAAACAATGAAACACAACTTGAATATCAGATGAACAACAAGGCTTTATTCAACCGGCATTCATACAAGTTATCAATCATGAACGAAACATTTTTCTTACCGTTGCTTATGGGTGGAGAGCTGAACACCCCAGTTAGAAAACGTAATCCATGATAGGTGAAGAACTGAACACATGTAATCCATGAACCTCGTCAGGTAGTGTGGTTCTTTTTCCTTATCAAAAACAAGAGAGAGACAGTTTATCCAAACTCAGCGTGGGGCTTTATTTGTACAATTCAGCAATACATCACCAACACTTCATGGGGACAGCCTTCAGCCTCGAACTAAATGCCTCGGCTGGAAACCTGCTGCAAAGCCCTCTCTCCTACACCACGCAGCATCGGTTATACTCTTCTGGCCCCCACCCTCATGATTTCGGGAAATGATGGGATGGCTGTTTTATTACCCAATATGGTCAAAGTAAGCCAATACTTACTGGAAGTTACATAAGCTGGACTGAACAACATGTTGTTGAGCACGTACGCAGCAGCTGGACAATCAAGATGTTAAAAGTGCACGTACACAGGATGCTGGGCTGATCAACATCTTGTCAAAATGCACGTACACAGAACACTGCTTTTTTGGCTCCTACAGTAGAATCCTCCAAGCAGCTCTAACCCCCCTGAGCCCTGCTCTGCTCCTTATACATTCCCTGATGTGCGTGCAAAGCTGCACACCTCTACCATGATTACCTTGATTACATCCTCATGATAAGTGTGATTGACAAACAGTAGTGATCAATAACTTATATAAAGCAATTATACAACAGATGACAAGTTCATTTTTATTACATTCCACTCTTGAACTTTTCATCTAATTTATGTCAAAACCAACGTCATTTATAACATACCTTGTAGTTCCACTTTAATTTTCATCGTAGTCTTTGCATTATTACCCAATTTATTTCTCTTCTTAATCGAATAACATACACAATGTTAGAATGCTGATTATAATTAATGCTGCAATCATAGGTGGAATTAGCACTTTATTAGCGGTACTCGACATGCCTGTAAATATATCCCACCAATGATGAGCGGAAGCCTGTTCAATCAATGTAGCAACATGTTTTATTTCCCCTTGTGCCACAAGAGTAGACACCATGAGCCTGGAAAGGTTGGACCTATGAGAGTCAATCAATTTTGCCACTTCAGTGGAACCATTCAATGCGCATTTGAATCGTTCCAGTGAGAGTGTCCAAGGGGAGTGTAAAACCTCCCATTGTATCTTAGTCAGCCGACTAGATACAGTGTAATTACTCAACCAATAGGTCACGTTATTCCATTCCCACATATGTATACCCTTGAGACAACCTGAAAAGGGAACTGAAGGTACCTGTGGGGAATTGGTCATTGTAGCCACGCATAAGGTGTTAGGACCCACCTGCCAAAACTGTTCCTCTGGGGGTGTGACCGTCCAATCACAGAGTACGACCCTTGAATCAGTGAAACATGGATTGCTATGTCCTTTTACCAATGGGCAGGCTAAACCCTTATCAGTCTCATCACAGTGTTTTACTTCATATGTTCGATTTGTTTTAACATCCCACCACTCTCCACTAACATGGAGATACCAAAACCCTTTAGTGGTTATCACCGGCAGTATCTGATATCTACACACAGTCATTACTGATGTCATATTATACTGATCCCAGTATCCAGTACACATAGATTTATTACAAATCGTCATTTCTGCATGTGGCTGTAGCCATAATGAACTACTGATGTTCCATAATGTTCGCCATGCATGATAGTTATTACTCATTACCTGTATTTGAAACCTATTTATTTGTGTCTCAGCATGAATAGTCTGCAAGGAACAGACTGTCCAATTACCTATGTGTGACAAATTATGCAATGCATCATAAGTTTCATTCCAAAGCTTTAGATTCCATTTAAATACACTTTTCCACACATCACTTCCTTCTAACTGACTAGATACAGTCGAAGGCATCCATCTTGCAGTCTTGGTGACAGCTTGTGCGGTGTATTCTCCAGTGTTGGACAGCATAGTTCGTGTTACCTCATTGTCTGCTGTGTTAGCCAGACCATACAAAGTTCCAGTTCCTCCTAGCACGGTGTCATACCATGCTCACCTCCTCCTGTTGCAAGGCGGAATAGGAGGGA